CTTTTTTTTTTTTTTTTTGAGATAGAGTCTCACTTTGTTGCCCAGGCTAGAGTGAGTGCCATGGCGTCAGCCTAGCTCACAGCAACCTCAAACTCCTGGGCTCAAGTGATCCTGCTGCCTCAGCCTCCAGAGTAGCTGGGACTACAGGCATGCACCACCATGCCCGGCTAATTTTTTCTATATATATTAGTTGGCCAATTAATTTATTTTTATTTATAGTAGAGACAAGGTCTCGCTCTTGCTCAGGCTGGTTTCGAACTCCTGACCTTGAGCAATCTGCCCGCCTCGGCCTCCCAGAATGCTAGGATTACAGGCGTGAGCCACCATGCCCGGCCCATTTGGCATTTTTTTCCCCTCAAGTGAGGTGCAGGCATTTGAGACATTCCAAAACCAAATAAGTTTACTTATTTTAAAACAGACTTAATATGTATGTTTTTAAAAAACCAGTCTCTCATCCCATGCCTTTTTTGGTGTGGAGAGTGTTTATATCATCTTTCGCTCTTTTATCTTGTGTCCATATAAGGCAAACACTTCCATATAGAACTGCATTTGTGACTTAAAAAAAAAAAAGCAAGAGAAGAAAGAGGTGTCACTGAATGTATAGGGTGGTGGCAGTGTCAATCAACAAGATCAGGACCTGGGTTTGGACATGTTAAAATTAAGATGCTCAACGTAACATTCATGTGATGATGTCTATCAGGCAGATGGAAATGCAAATCTATACAGATCTTGGGAGAGAAGCTTTCAGAAACAGATTAGCAACAAAGTGAGACTCTGTCTCAAAAAAAAAAAAAAAGAAAAGAAAAAGAAAATCACTGCTGTATCGAATCAGTGCCACTGATGGAGGTGTGCTGTATCTTTCCAGTGTGTTAAGCTAGAACAAAAATTGGGTACCACTACTGCAAAGTTAACTGCCATAATGACGGGTCAGATGGGACTACTGGCTTACCACTAAGACACTAGTAAGCCTAGGGTATAAGTCAATTTAGTGTGCGGCACAGGAACAGGCAGTATAGGTCAAGTAAAGAGCACAGATTCTTAGCCAGGGCCCCAGGAGGTCTATGAACCCCCATACGGTTCATACATGTCTAGCATTTTTCCAGCACATAAATAAAGAGATCATTAGAAGGATCATAACCTCCTCACCCCAAGATAAGAACTGATGAGAGTGATAGGGCAGTAACTTGAGAAGGTAACATGATCAAGAAAATTCTAGTTTTGTTTTGCTTATTAATAAGGAAGATTTGAGTATATTTTAAAGGGGAGGAAGCTGGTGGCTACCACTGAGGGTAAAAGTGAGGTGGGCAGGATGGAACCAGATAGAGGATGGCCCAGTAAAAGATGAAATCTCATGGAGTGATGGGGTCAGGCTGCAGGTTTCAGAAAACAGGAAAAGACATAGAAAAAGTCATTTCTGAAAAATGTCAAAGGGGTGCAATTTCCAAGGGCTTTGAGGCTCTTCTGTTTTTCTGCCCTAAACATGGCAGGACCTTCAAAGCTCAGGTTACTCCCCTGGTAAAACTTATTCCCTCAAATGGGTCTATCATCTCAGCTTAGATTCACTCATTTATTTATCGTCTTCACGGCACTTAGGGCACATCATGCTATGAAGGCCGTGGAAAAGAACATGGCTTCCGTTTCAAAGAAGCTTATGGTGTGATGGGGATAAGCTATGTAGCCTATATCGTTAGACAAAGTACAAAGTGAGTGAGAAAAGGCACTGTGAGAGTTAGTTCAGCTACAGGGTGGAGGCTCGAGAAAAGTTAGCAGAAAGGTGTAGGAGTGGGATGGGGTGGAGGTGTACTTTTAGAAGGGTGGGCAGGATTTACATCGTTTACAGCTTAGAAGAGACAGGGGGACAACATTCCGGAGTGCAAAGCAGCAAATAGATTGGAGCTGGATAACCAATATGCACGAAGAATGACTGAGAAAGCCATGTATCAGAGCTCAGAGGAAACAAGGAAGGGGCATTTGGAGTGGGAGCGTTGAGGGCCAAGACGACAAGACTCGAGGTTTAACAGGATCAGCGATGTGCTCCGGCAAGGCTGACCTACTGCTGCAAGGGGGTTGGCAGTATGGACCGCGACTGGCAGTCGGCCGCGCAGCATAAGCCCGTGACCTCAAGGGCACCGAAGCCTGAAGACTAGGGGATGAGAGGATGAGGTAAGCAGAGGTTGGCTCAGATGGGCGTGCACGCAGCGGAATCGGTGGCCCCTGCTCTGCCCAGCCGACAGCGTACCTGGATGCTGCAGCTCCTTTGCGTCCAACCGAGGCCTCTGCAGGAAGCGTCTTACTGCCACGGTCTGCGCAACTTCCTAGTGCGACCGAACGCAGCACCACTTGAAACCAGACACGTGAGGGTAGCAGCCCAGGAACAACACTGAACGCCTCAGCTATTGGTGCGCAAAGCGACCCTTTCTTCCTCCCACTCGCGGGTTTCAGCCTCTAGGACTCGGCTCCCGACGGGCCAGGCCTAGCATAACACCACCCACTAAAGGCGGAAGCCCGCGCCTGCAGCCATTCCAGCTGGTGGCCGGCTTTGGGTTTCCGGGCCAATTATCCTTACTACGCATCCTCAGACGAACCTTCCTCTCGGAGAAGCCCATTGAATTCTGGGGATTGTGGTTACGCTCCCCTGAGAAAGGATGTTTGTAACCCACGCTCTGGAACCGGAAGTTTTAGGATGATGAGTCGGCCAATCCCCAGCGAACAGCACGGTGACGTCTCCAGTAACTAGGTAGATTCTCTCGGCGCTATCCTTGTGGAGGTGGACCGCGCGCCCCCTAGAGCCGGGAGCTGCCCTCTCCCGGGTGGCTGGGCTGCGGGCGGAGCTCAGGTAGGAACCCTGGTGGGAAAGGTGGGAAGCGCGAGGCCAGGACCGCCAAGGATGTGGCAGGTTGAGCCATGAACACGGAGTGGGCACGGGGGGAGGCGGGGGGAGTTTCTAATGTCTGTGTCCTGTGTGTGACCTCCCCGCCTAGCAGCCGGTATGATGAAGCTCCGGGAAAGCTGGGTGCCAGCTTGAGGGAGGAGCGTGAGGGGTGCTGGCGGGATACGGGACAGAGAGGACTGAGTGGGCACCTCTGCCGAGGGCCAGGAGTGGCTGGGATTATCAAGAAGGGATCTTTTTTCATTTTTACTACGGTAAGAGTGAAAACATACATGCAGTGATACACACAACAGCACACGCACTGCCACACTCACTAAAGCTCCCTTCCCCAACTCTCTGTTTCTGGAAAAACCATGCTTTATTGGGTAGATAAGTAGGCCTGACAGGAAGGCGTCAGATTCACAGTTAACTGTCGAGTGAACAGAATTAGGCAAAAGAGTTTGAAGCTGCCTCTCTGCCCCTACCTTAACCTCCTGGGGAGGCAGCTCTGGATTCACTTAGTGCCTCCACCTGGACCTCTCACTTTTGCTGCCTGATTGGAGCAGCTCTGCCCTTCGCTTATAAGACAGTGAATTCTCAAGGGCTAGGGCCTCCCTGGCTTGTTGGGGAGTAAGGGAGGGTTAACATAATGCTGGCTAGAGCCACAGTATGCCAAGTACTGCCACACAGGAAGGTGAGACCCCTGCTGGACCTGGACACAGGAGCCTCTCAGGCCCTCGGGGATATTTATAGCTGAGGGCTTAGGCTGCTGACCCATGACATTCCCCTGCCACCACCCCATTCTGGAGCAAGGCCAGTGCAAAGCACACTCACCCTCCCCCCTGCTGTTCTTCCCTCACCCCAGAGAGTAGGCTGGTTTTTATTTTCTTCCTTCTCCTTGAGTTTCTTCACTTCTGAGGTGCTGACGTGGTCAGTACCTCGTGAGAAGGCCCTCACTGAACAAAGTAGAGCTGGCTTTGGAATATCAGGACCCACCAACATGGGAACCTGCTCACCCTTCCCCACCTCTGCTCAGCCTTTGGACTACTTGGGCCCCCTGGCCTCCAGATGCCAGGTGCTGGTTAGCTTCGCTGGCTGGTCTGGGGCAGCTGAGGAAAAGGTACAGGATTTGGGAGGAGGAAATGGGGTAAGAGTCAGGGATGTCCTCTGGGGAGACAGCAGCAGGAGGGGCCCAGCTGTCACCTCCCCCAGCTAGAGCTACTGAGAAGAGAGGCAGGGCAAATGCAAAGGTCATAGGGAGCCCAGTGATCTGAGCCTACTGTGAAAAGGAATAGCTCTGTCAGCAGATTAAGTTCCTGCTCCCCAAAGAGGGTGCTGGCGGGGAGTGTGAGGGAAGGCTAGGAAAGGTCACACAGGGTGGGAGGAGCTGGCAAGGAACTAGGAACCAGGAAGTCCCCAGGGAGAATGGCAAGCCACAGGGCTAGAGATGCCAGCATGGCAGCAACTCTGGCGCCTGGGCAGCCTGCGGGAGGGGCAAAGGGGATGACCAGAGGTTTCTGAGGACGCAGATGTTGCTAGGAGAAGCTAGAAGGGGTTTGTTTGAGATCTTTGTATTTTATTAACAAACATTGAGATCCATTAAAGCTGTGTGGAGCCTGGCAGAAGTCAGTTAAGGGGTCTCTGGATCCTGTGTCAGCTCAAAAGCCCAGACCCCTCCCTGGCAGCCCCTGCCCTGATGTCCTCTTTCCCCACCCTCCCCCATACACACACAATTGAAGCAGGCAGCACTGAGGCTTGATTCTGCCCTTCCAGAGGACAGGGAGAAAGCCCCACATCTGGAGAGGGACGTGGCAACTCCATTTCTGGCAGGATGTGGTGGCAGGAGACTGCAGGCTGCTTGGCAGTTCAGGATCTCCAGGTGCGTAGCTGGCCCACTGCCTCCTGCCCTCCAGTGAGAAGCTGAGAAGATTCTGCTCTACAGGGAGTCCCAGAGATCCCTGTGACTAGGTGCCCCAAGCTTCTGCCAGTCTCCATTGGAGTAAAGAAGCTGCTGGCCTGGGCCCTGGCCCCACTCACAAATGTTCTGGATGATTCTGCAGGCAGCGGATGAATTCACCCACTGGCTGGCCCTCATAGCACACCCTGTACACAGCCATGAACAAAGGGAACCTAGAGCGGAGAGAGAAAGGCTCAGGTTAGGCTTCCATTCCTGGTCCACCCTCTACCCCCGCCCCCAACTCCCTATTCACTGCCTAACACTCCACTCCCCTACCCTCCCACCCTGGAGCTCAGGCAGACTCTGGCTCTCAGTTTCCACCTGCCAAGAATCTAAACTCCCTAGCCTTGGGTTTTGGAGTCAGGTTGCTAAATTACCCTGCTTCCTAACATGTTGAACTTACCTGCATGTTTCCCTGGCTTGAATTTTTGTTCCAATTGGGCAACCCACTTAACCTATCTGAGCTTCAGTGTCATCAACCATAAAATGGGGCCAATATAACAAAGTTGTGAAGACATGATTGTGTATGTGAAGATATGATTATGTATTATGTGAAAGTGCTCAATAAATAGCAGTTTCCTTCTTCCTATCTTTTTGCCCAGCTGTCCCCTTTACCAGGAGACTTTACCCTGACCAGCCATGAGCTGATCTTCTGAACCTGTTTCATACACTCTTCTGGGATTCTTTCCCAGACCAACAGAGGTCTGCTCTGATCAGCCCTGTCACCCCTGCTGTCTTGGTGCTCCCTGAAAAGGAGCATCTTGAAGCGCAGCCCATCCTTCTCCTCACACCTCAGCACCCAGGACAGGATTCAGGGGACAGAAAGGTTGGCCTTGGGGGAGAGACTCAGACTAGGGGTGATGCACAGAGAGGTGGGACAGTCAGATGAGCTGCCTCAGAGCTCCAACCCCCAGAGCAGAGGACTAGGAGGAAAGGATGCAGAGGGGTGCAAGTAATGTAGTGTAAAGAGCACTAGACTGGAAGGAATTCAAAGACCATGAACTAGCCATGGGACAATGGGCATACCAGACTCTCTCCAAGCTCTAGTCTCTTTGTCTGAAACATAAGGTCACACTCCTCTCTCTGTCCACTTCAGATTATGGAGGGTTCAGGAAAATGACAAACAGGGAGAGCACTTCTGACTGTGGCCAACACTTACTTTTCTACCAGGCCCTTGTGCTGGAGGATGCTGTGTAGCTCCCGGGCTGTCTGGGGCCCCTGCAGCTTCTGCCCATTTAGCATCTCTTTCTCCAGCTGCTCAATGGACTGTGCAGAAAACAGGGCACATGAGGGAAGTAGGAGAGGAGGGATGTCAGTACATCTGGGGTTCAGAAATCTTAATGTTTGTACTCAAGAGATGCCTCTCATTGAGAGTCTCTACCTTGACACCCACCCTCTGTTCTCCCTTCTCCCTTCTCCCAGAGCCTACCTTTCCTGTACGGGCAAAGGCCTCGGCCACCTTGCGGTTCCGCCCTCCGTAACAGGTAGTGATGAGGTCAGCAACGCCGCAGCTCTCCAAGAATGTGGCAGAGGACACAGGGCCACTGCAGAAGAGCTTGGCAAAGGCGATCATCTCCATGAGTCCCAGCCGGATCACCGCTGCCTTGGTGTTGTCACCAAAGCCCAGCCCATCACAGAAGCCAGCTCCTACAGCCACTACATTCTTGGGGGAGTAGAGGTCATAGGTGAGAAAGGGCCCTCCTCCTGCAGGCCCCATGTGGAGCCCTCAGCACCTGCCTCATGCTCCTTACATCAGCCATGACACACCCACTGCATAAGTGAAGTCTAACGTATGTGCTCCTAAAGAATTTCCACCTCTGAGTTTTCCCACTTGATGTACCCACTCTCTTAAACCCTGCCCCATACTCTCTCCTTGAGGACATTTTCTGAAAGCACTCTTCCTCTAGCTGTCCTTCCATCTATGACCATTCTGTAGCCCTCATGTCCATAGCTGTTCAGAATCCATAGTTCTGACTATCAGTCTGTCTGGGTGTCCTGGCTGTCTTGCCTCTCCTATTAGCCTGAGCATCTCCTCTTCCCCCTAGACCACCTCCTGGAGACAGGGAAAGGGGGAAAGAAAGAGGGGGTTCAGTGTCTGATGATGAATAATCAGCAGGCCTGAATGACCCTAGCTTTGCTTCTGCAGTTCCTGTGTGTATGGGACTAAGTGGGGAAGAGGAGCAACTGCTCAAGAGTGAGAGCCTGGAGTACCAACAACCCTGTAGAACTAAGCCGGCTCTCCTTTAGGACCTTCTCCCTACCCCATAGCTGCCTCTGTGCCCCTCTCACCTTTAAGGCCCCACAGATCTCGACTGTGTCCACCTCTTGCACGACTGTGATACGGAAATTGGGTGTCTGCATCAGCTCTTTCAAAAGTTGTCCCTGGGCCGGGTCCTTGCAGCCTAAAGTGGGGAAGGGGCAAGGCTTTGAGGGGGGGCTCTTGAACTGTTCTTTTCACATCTGCCCTAAGCAGGACCTGCAGCCCCTTCCTGGGGATGTCCCAACCTCCCTCACCTCTGATGCTTGGGTCTTCTTCCTTTTCCCTGCCTTATAGGAAGGAGACAGCTAAGTGGGGTTGGAGGAGAGTATGGGGAAGGGATGCAACTAGAGCTTCCTGCATATGTGGGTGGCGGGGGGCTCTCACCAATGGTTGTTTCACAGAACTTCTCATCAGCCACCTCGCTGGCAATGTTGGCCCCCATCAGCACGCTCATGGGGATGCCAAGGCGTTCCCCAATCACTTCGGAGATAAGCTTCAGCCCATTGGGGCCCTCGTCTACCCCCTGGGCACAGGATGGAGCTCAGGCCAGGTGCCCTGATAGCCAACTGAGGGCTTCCCACCCAGAAATCCTGCCCCTTCCAAATCCACTGTTCATCATTATCCCTCCCAGAGGTGCTGCCCCATCCAACCCAGCTAAAGTTTTTTGTGAGGAGGGTGGACAACATGTGAAAAATTCTCCTGCCACATACCTTTGGCCTACCTCTCCAAGGCGATGTATCCCCTCCATGTCTCTAGACAACTCTTTCCTGACTGCCTCAAACAGGAAGTAGTCCATGTAGTGATGTCACTGCTCCAAACCAGCTCCCCTTTCACACTCCTCAAACCAGCCCACTTCTCATATCCTCCAGGCATCCCTTTACACATCCCAAACTCGCTGAAGACACTGGCCTTCAGACCAATCTCTCACCTACTTCCCAGCCTTCCAGTGGCCTCAGCCTCTGACTGCTTTCTTTAGCCTCTCCAGAGCCAATTCCTCTTGTCTCTCTGGGCAACTCTTGGCCTACATCTGCCATTTTATGTTCTCCTTGGTTCACCTTCCCTGAGCCCCATAACAGTTGCACCATCTCCCACCCACATCAACGTGTCCCTGGCACCTTAATAAGAGATATGCCAATGGTGTTTTTCTTCAGGTGGCCCTTGAGCTGGTCACAGATCTTGCCAATGAACTGATGGGGCACCACAAAGATCAGGATGTCAGCATCCATTGCAGCCTGGACCACATCTGGGACAGCCACCTGTGGGGGTGACCAGGTGCTCATGGGCCTGGTAGATCTCTCCTAGCCCCTGTGGAACCCCATACAGGAAATCTGGGAGCCAAACAGCGAGGCTGGTGGGGGAGAAGGAAGGGTGGTTTGGGACAGAATCTAGAAGGACTGAACTTGGAGGAACAAGACACTCTATTCCCTCCCCCAGCCATCACTAGCCCTCGTTCCAGCATTTCTACCCCTTGGCTGTGGGACAGTGAGGGAAGTCAAAAGTAGCCTGGCCTTGGCAGGAGGAAGAGGCTAAATAAGATTTCCTCACCCTGCTCCCTAGGGGCCCCAGCTGGGAAGGGAGAGCCCCAGTCTTTCTGTTCTCCCCTACTCCCCCTTTCCAGGTAGGGAGAGAACCACATAGATGTGACCAAAGACCGTAAGTCCAAGGAGCAGCCTCCACATCTGTTAATAACCCAGTGAATGAGTAACAGGATTAGCGCCTGCGGCAGGCACTACCTGGACCCCAAGTCTGGGAGCCTAGTCTTTGGCTGCCAAGGAGACTGGCTTCCTTTCCAATCCCTTCCCCACCCACCTGCCTGGGAGCCTGTAAGGGGGGAGGTATGCTCCAGTTCTCCTCAGTCCTAGAAAGCACCCACAGCAGCCCTCCTGAGATGCTTCCCAAGTCCAGGTCCCACCTGAAGCTGCCCCTCTCGGCAGAAGGCGCCTCTTGAATAAGATCCATGCTCCTGGCTCTCCCTCCCTCTACTTTCCTCTCTCCTTTCCTTGCAAGGTATTGGGGCTCACCACATTTGGGGGCAGCTTGTGCCCTGGCAGGTATTTGACATTCTCATGCTGAGTGTTGATGATCTCCGTCAGCTTTCTGCCTCCGACATCTTCCTCAAACACCCACATGGTCACCCGTGGGTCAAAGCATGCCAGCTGGGCTGCATTGCCACCCACAATCTTGGCGATGGCAGAGCCCCTAACAAGAGGGGGATCACAGGAAAGTGGAGGAGTGAGGGAGGGAACAGTGGTAGGGGTTGGGGCAGTGCCCCATCTCAGGATCTCACAGCAGCCCACCAGAGTATTTACTCGCATTGTCCGTGCCACCCCCACTCCCATGACAAGTGTGTCCCCAACGACCAGGCAGTAGAAAGGAGACTCAGTCCACCCCACCCTTTGCTGACAGAGAAGGGGGCCAGCCTTCTGATCTCCCCACCCCAAACCCAAACAGCTTTTCAAACAGAGCATGCCCTGGAGACTCCCTTCCTAAGGTGAACAGGTGCGGCTGCCCAGGCAGGCAGGGGCCAGGAGCGGTCTGAGCACTGCCTGTCCTGTGCCTGTAGGCACAGACGATAGCAGCAGGGGCCAAACAGGAACCTGAGGGCATTTCCTACCCACTCTCTGCCTCCTGTCCACCAAGCCTCCCTCCCTAGCCCCTCTGTACTTAGGGGGACCCACGCTGCCCCCACATCCCTTAACAGAGCCGCTTACCAGTTGCCGGAGCCTACAATGCAGACTTTCTTGCCAGCCATGGTTCTGCTTCTCTGCCCAAGCAGGCTCCGTGCCACACTCCCCAGCTCTTCTGCCGGTGGGAGCATTTAACTCTGCCACACGTGGGTGCAGCCAAGCCCCGCCCTCCAGGGGTGGGTGGAGGCTGGCGCCCAGGGAGATAAGAGAGTCTGGCAGGGCCAGGGAAAGGGGAGAAAAGGGTAGAGACAGGTGGGGAACAGGAACGGGGCAGAGACCAGGCTTGGCTTCTGGGTTTGCCAGCTGACAGTGCTGCCAAGCTGCTTCCATTGGCCCCAACCCAGTTCCCCACCCCCCGCCTAGCCATGGTCTCCTTTTGAAGTCTGCCAAGAAAATAGCCCATATAAGGAGCAAGTGACTGGTCCCCTTCACTCCCTTCTGTCCCCCAGCACTGAAATAAATTGTATTTAGACTTAGCAACTAGGGGAATGCTTTTTCAGAGGTGGGAATTCTCCGCCCTTCATTCCCTGGCCACATACCCTTGCAGACCCCCAAATACTGTCTAGTTTTGTCTTTTAGCAGGCCCACACTAGCTCCACTGTAGGGCTGGGGGTGGCGATGTGGGTCCACTTTTAAAGACCACATAAGAGGTAAGGGCCTGCTCTGGGGACAACCCAGCCCAAGGATAAGACCACAGGAGACTCAGGTCATCTTGGTCACCCACAGTGGTCATCTCAGGGACTCACCGATGGGCCTCTCCTAGACAATCCCCACCAGAAAGTTTTCTAGGGATAGTGGGAAAGGTTAAAGTTAGGGGACTCAGGATTGTGGCCCGTAGTTCTCCTTTTATAGACTCTGGGTTAAAGAAGACAAGAGAAAATATGAGACAGGGCAAAGTGTACACTGTCCTTGAGAGGCTTTGAGCTTCCTTCAGTTCTTTCTCTCATGGGTTTCCAAGCTACCACACAAAGAACTTCCTCAAGTTAATGGCTAGTTTGCAGAGGCCAGAGAGGGGGAGGTAGAAGCTGGGGCAGCTGTGTCCTCTGGCCCTTTATGGTCTCAGATACCTTACTGGGCAGTACTATGGTGTGATTCTGGGGGGAGGGGGAGAATGGAAGGAACATATTCAGCAATTCAGGGCTCTGTCGCCCACAGCCATCTGTTTGACTAATAGAGGGAGCTCTGGTTTCCAGGCTGATCTGGAGAATGAAGCAAGAGACTTCTAACATCATGCACCTTGGCCTAGAGGGCAGATACCACTGTATGCTCACGTGCTGACCTCCTGGCTTGGCAGCCTGCTTAATAAATGTGTGTCACCATCCTCTTGGCCCGCTACTGGCCCACAACTGGTAATAAGCACTGGGCTACAGGGGAGTCTGTGTGCAACTGATGGGTGAGGGTAAGTGGGCAGGAGGTCAAGACTCCTGTCCACTTACCACTTATTCCAGGAGAAATGGTTTTCCAAGTTCCAGGGGCTGCCCAAGAAAAGCCCACCATATTCTCCTTCCGTGGCCGGGGAGTTCCCATAAGGGAAACATAGATGAATTCAGTAGTTGGCTGTTCTCCTTAGAACAAAGTTATACCTAACATGGACAGCCTCCCACACAGTCCGCTCCTTTATTGCACTGGCACTGACAAAGTCACCAGTGCCAGGCTGCCAGCTGGGATCACTGATTATGGGTGGTGAAGAGAAAGGATGCTTTCTGTCCCTGGCACATATTATGAGAACCCCAAAGAATGGATGTTTATGCATAAAATAACTTCCTTGTTTTTGCCTAAATGCTTCCCTCTCTCATTTTACCCCTAGTCATTTTAGGTAGCTTGTAGACAAAGAATTTGCTCATCTATAGGGATATAGAGGGTGCAGAGATTCAGAATTGGCTCATCATAGGAGGTTATCTGTATCACTAGAACTCTTTTCCCAAGAGCTAACTGTAGATTATTTGCTTGAAATTAATAATGGTTCATCAGCCATTCGTTACACATGTAATTAGCCTGGGCAAAAACAGATGCCATTTCAATGTCCTTGACATCAATTTTCTCCACTTCAAGTTATCACCCCAACACAGTGTTCTGCTTTCCACTCTCAAGTCTGATAAAACCTCCAAGTTCCAGACTGGAAACAGTGGTTGTATTTTTGGTGGGTTTGATTCATATATCAAACAGGCAATAGTGGAGTGTCCCCCTCCATGGAGGCAACGGATTGTTTCTAAACCACAACTTTGGAATGTGGTTGCACTCATCTTATATTCTAAACCCCCTTCTTGGATAATGGCACAAAGGAGAAAAGTAATGAGGCACCAGGTGGGGAGCAGACAGAACTGCAGCAGAATGTCATGCACTTGCTAACAAGAGTAATCACTCCTGAGCAGTCTTCCAAACTCTGCCAATGAGGGGCTGGTTGTCTGGTATGCTATGGTAACATAGCACTCCCAGCCCGGTCTTAAGAACCTGAACTCTTACTCAGAGTCACAAAAGTGGAACCTCGAAGAGTGGCAGACACAAAAATGTCTTTAGTCATCCAGGCCCTGGCCCATATCTAGACAGAAGGTCTGGGAGAGAAATGAAAGTCCTTGTTACACATAATGGATCAAAGGCACCCAAGGACAAGTCACTCCAGCCAACTATTTCCCTGGGGGAGCTCAGAAGAAAAAGTCAGTGCCACTGACCTCTGGGGGATCTGGGGGCAGGATTCTAAAATTCAGTGAAGCCCAATAATCCCAGCCAGCAAACTAGCCTGCTTGGTCCACTGAGGCTGAGAGAGCAACCCCTAAGGTAAGACCCTGAGGTCCACAAGGTAGAAATCTTGTTTTCCACTTTGTCCTCAGTGCCTAGCACAACTGGTATGTAGCAGGTGCTCAATAAGGATTTGTCAAGTAAAATGAACAAACACTACAAGTGTGACTAAAGGTATCGAACACGTGTCCTCAAACCATGGCCCGCGGGCCACATGCAGGTGTTTTTGCCCATTTGTTTTTTACTTCACAATAAGATATGTGCAGTGTGTATAGGAATTTGTTCACAGTTTTTTTAAACTATAATCTGGCCCTCCAACGGTCTGAGGGACAGTGAACTGGCCCCGTTTAAAAAGTTTCAGGGCCCCTGGAAAGAGGAAGAGCTCACGGAAGCACGCTCTCCCACAGGAGGTAGGGGGACCCATCCTTCAGAAGAATCTTTTATTAAAACTGGGTGACATCGATAAGGGGACAGTACAAAAAAAATTTTGGCCCATGAAAAAAACATAATAATTCAGTTAATAAAAACAGTTATCTTCAACAGGGACACTGTAGGAGTGCTGAGCTTCCTTCTCATGGTTCCAGCCAGGAGCCGGGCCAGGGCTCAGCTGCCCCAAGGTTGTCCAGTGTCACTGTGGGGAGAACCTTTCAAGGGAGGATAATGGCAGGAAATGGAGGATGGGGGACAATTCTGCTGTCCCCAGTGCAGAACAGGCAGTTTAGGTAAGGGATGTGCTCGCAGGAGCCTGAGGAGGGGTGGGGAAGCAGGGGCTTTGTCAGTTCTGTGGGTCTAGAGCCCAAGCTGAACGGAATCCCCCTCTGTGCCCAGCTGTCTCCCACCCTGCTGTGTAGAGTCTGCGAGCCTGGGATATGCTAACTTGGGGGTGATACGACCTGGAAGAAGAATCTGAGGCTCTCCTGGAAAGATGCAAAACCATCTCAGTTCCAAGGGGCCAAGATCACAAGGTCCTGCTGCTACCTGAGGGGTCTGAAGCTTTGAGGGCAGGGGCTGGGGAGTCACATCCTGTGAGGCAGGGAGAGGGAAGAGTCACAAACCCAACTCAGCGCTATTCTCCAGCCCTAGGCGCTTTCACTCCTCAGTGCCCTAGAAGTCACCAGCGGGTGTCAACTGGGCAGGCAAGGGACAGGAAGACAGGGAGGGCCCAGGGCTTTTACCCGTTTGATTTTAGGCCTGTTTCTCTATTAAGGGATGGGGTAAGGGGGGCAGGGTGGAGTGAATGAGTCACATCTCCAAGCAACAGCAGGAAGGAACAGTCTCCGCTGGCAATGACAGTACCCCAGATTAGGTCCCTGGGGACCTGAAAGGGAAAGGCAAGACTCCCCCACCCAAATGCCCTGGGTTAGGGTAGATATAAGGGAATGCTAAAAGGGCAGCTACAGGAGTGTGCTGAGGGGGAGCAACAGTTAAAGAACAAATTCCAATACTGATGTGGACCCCTTACTAAGGAGATAGCAGGCCAATCCAGAGGGCTGGGGACTGACCTGGGGCTCAGTGGAGCCCAAAAGCCAGGGTTCCTTTAGTGCTAGAGGGCAACAATTGAAGGGAGAGTTTGCTCCAAACCTGTGGAGGGAAGGAAGGAAATTGGATTCTGTTATCAGGAGAGCCAAGATCAACTAGCTTATAGAGTGCCCCCAGGCCTGAGTCTTGGAGAAGGGGCTAAAGCTCTCAACTCCTGGGTCTCTGAAGGGCAGGATCAGTGTAGCTGGTCCCCTTGAAGACCACCTGGCCTTAGGCTCAATCCATTCTGAGCACTGATTACCACTACAGGTTCTCTCTCTAACACTATCTAGAGGTCCTATGTAGACCAGGGGAGGGTAGAGGCACATGGGAACTCTGTGGGGCAAAGGGAAGCTGGGGGTGGGGTGGGATGGGGTGAGAGAAGAGGGTAATAACTGTCTTGTAAGACAGAAATGTGAGACCCTCTTCATTCTGGTGTTGACCTTGAACCAACAGCATCCCCTGGAACGCCCCAAGCGAGACCAAGGCAGGTGCTATGAGGCCGGCAGCACTGGGCCCAAATAAAGAATCGGTGCAGCCAGATCAGGGCTGAGGGAGAGGCCCTATGTATTTCGGATTCCCAGGGCTTGCTCTAATTCTTGTCGTCTCTGCTGCACCTAGGGAAAAAATAGTGGAGGGAGTGCAAGATGAGACAAACCAGAAGTTGTTATCCAACACCCACATCCCCGCCAGGGGTGCAGACCCCTTGCCTTTTCCTGTGCACCCCAGGTACCTACCTTGGAGTAGAAGTATCGGCACACAGCCTCCTGAGCCCAAGGCTGGAAGTAGAACTCAGCTCGGCGCTCTTCCTCCGGGTTACCCACCACATCGGTCATTGTCTGAGGAAAATGGGGGTGGGGGGAGGAGGAGGAAAATGGAGAATAGACTTGTTTCCTTCCTTCACACTTGTTATTGGCTGAATTGTATCCTCCAAAAAAATGTGGAAACCCTAACCCCCCATGTGAATGTGACCTTGTTTGGAAATACAGTCTCTGCAGATGATCAAGTTGAGATTAGGGTAGGCCCCAATCCAATATGATTGATATCCTTACAAAAAGGGGAAATTTGGACAAATACGTACAAAAGAAAGACAATGTGAAGACAAACATAGAATGCCACCTATAAGCCAAGGAACGCCTGAGGCTACCAGAAGCTAGGGAAGCCACGTGGAATAGATTCTCCCTCACAACTCTTGGAAGGAACCAACCTTGCTGACACCTTGATTTTGGATTTCCAGCCTCCACCACTGGGAGATAAGCTTTTGTTTAAGCTATCCAGTTTGTGGTAGTTTGCCACAGCAGCCCTAGCAAACTAATACAACACCCAAGTCACCCTCTGCTATCAATAGTCATTGCCTTGTTCAGGGATCTTTCCTGGCACCCCTTTTCCCTTGCTCGTCCGCTCAGCCTGTGCAATTATAATTATAGTCACCACAGGGTGGGCGAGAACTGAGGGCACATTTCACATTCTGTGCCCACTTCTATCTTCTTGCCTGAGCTTATGGTGTAACTCTTTCTGGGAAATATCTTCAAATCCCAAATTTCCCATGAAACCTTACCCAGCAATGCTAGCCTCATCCATTATCCCTTCTCCTTTGGATTATCTTATTGGTACTGGTAAGTACTGGTGATGCCTTACATGGTCTTCTACTTTTTATTGTATTAGCCTAGTTTCTCCAAATATTCTGCATGCTGCTTTTGAAAGCAGAAGTTAGGTTTTCTACTCTGTAATCCCAACAATATGGAACACAGTGATAGCACTGGGTAAGTTAAACAACACTTGATGGTTCTGCCTCCATTTCCCTACTTAATTGTAAAATGGACCCTGAAACATGCTAAAGAAAAACCTGGTCCCTCACTTCCCCCTCTGGCTCTTTCATTAGCTGCTACAGAAATAAAGCAGAGGGTAACTCACTGACCTAAGTCACTTTGGACCTTTCCTAGGTTCTTTACCTTGAGGTCCCGGCACTGGGACTGAAGCCAGTCATTGATGAAACCCTGAGGGTCTCTGGCAAAGCTCAGCATAAATTCCCGCTGGGTCTTCAGCTGGTTGATAGTTTCTATTGTCTCATGGATCTGAAAGGAAGAAGGAAGCTCATACCATATTCAAACTAAGGAAATGCAAAGTTAAATGGCAGACAGTGCCTGACATCTCCATGTGCCACTCCCAACCTAGGAAGAATGCAGCCCACAGCCAGCACTACCAGGCTCCGGCCCTCAGCATTCTTTCAGCACGTAATCTGCACTTGTTCCTGTCTCTCCGTTTACTCCATGTGAGGAAAGTTTTCCTTTTGATCTACTCACTACCCACTATGGGCAAAGCTACATGGTAAATACTTAATCCAGGCCAGGCATGGTGGCTCACGCCTGTAATTCTAGCACTCTGGGAGGCCTAGGTAGGTGGATCTCTCTCTTTGAGCTCAGGAATTCGAGACCAGCCTGAGCAAGAGCAAGACCCCATCTCTACTAAAAATAGAAAATAAATTAATTGGCCAACTAAAAATATATAGAAAAAATTAGCCAGGCATGGTGCCACATGCCTCTGGTCCCAGCTACTCCGGAGGCTGAGACAGGATTGCTTGAGCCCAGGAGTTTGAGGTTGCTGTGAGCCAGGCTGACGCCATGGCACTCTAGCCCAAGCAACAGAGTAAGACTCTGTCTCAAAAAAAAAAAAAAAAAAAAAAAATTAAAAAAAAAAACAACTTAATTCATAGCACAAACGGGTCCAAAAGCACTCTCAGGTAGAAAAGGAGCAGTATAGAGAGCTGTCTCATAACCTCCAGTCTCTACATTTTGTTCTTAGCTCCCTTCTCATTCTACATGTTCTTCCTGTCAATTTCATCAACTTGTATGTCTTCCTTTACCACACTGACGGGGTGATGAGTTCCCAGTCTATAGGCCAGAGTGTCCATTTTCTTTTTTCTTTCTTTTTTTTTCAGACAGGGTCTCACTCTGTTGCCCAGACTATATTACAGTAGCCTCATCATAGCTGACTGCATACTTGAATTCCTGGGCTTGAGTGATCCTCCAGCCTCAGCATGCTGAGTAGCTGGGACTACAGGCATGCACCACAACACCTGGCTAATCTATTTTTTGTAGACACGGGGTCTCACCCTTGCTCAGGCTGCTCTCGAACTCCTGGCCTCAAGCAATCCTCCCACCTCGGCCTCCCAAATTGCTAGGTCCAGGGGTGAGCCACCACACCGAGCCCAGAGTTTATTTTCTAAACTCCAACCAATCCAACTGCTTTCTTGACATCTTAAGGCACTTTAGACTCAGTATCTCTAAAACTAAATTCACTACCCTTTACCCAATCTTCTTCCTTTACCCTGATCTTCTTCCTGTTCCCAATTTTAGTGAATACCACTATTATCCACTCAAGCTAGAAACCTGGGAGTCATGATAATGCCTCCTTCTCCATCACCCCCATCCAAACAGTGGCCAAACTCCTTCAATTCCACTTTGATACCTTGCAAATCTGTCTACTTATTTCCATCCTCAGTGTCAGTACCTTAGGTTCAGGGCCTTGATATTTCTCATATGGATTACTGCACCAGCCTCTTAACTGGGCTTCAAGCCTCCAGATCTGCCCCCATCCAGATCGGCCCCTCTAACACACCAGTCTCCACCTTCCTGCCAGTAATCATTCTAAATACAAACAGCATCAGTCCCTCCACTGGTGATGATGAGGTACCCACCTTCCTATGCAGCCTCCTCTCCCAGAACAT